CGCAAATTGGCTGAACCATTTATTGTAAAAGCCCAGGCGCCCATGCATTGTTTTCTGAACCGAGCAGAAAGCAAGCCAGTGTTGCTTGAAGTCTGCTCCACAGGAAGTGAGCCACAGGGTCAGACTAGCAGCTTGTTTGCTGTGAGCCACTGAGGAGAGAAGACTCGTGACTGCAGCCTACCTGTCATTGGTTATTTTTCCCTATGGGTACTGGTCATTGTGTTTTTAGAAGTTCCTGAATTCTCTCTTTGTTTGCTTCCTAAATGCTCACTTTCTGCCATGTTCCACTTGGAATCTTTGCATGAAGCCTGTGTCATCATTTTCCTTAGCAGTCTTCCTCCATTTGGTAGGGATTTTATGGTGCAGTTAATTTTCCTCGGCATGATTCTCACTGATTGGAGGGGCCTGGTAGGTTTACTATATGCCTTAATAGTTAGAAAGGTAGACACAGCAGGCAGCAAGAGAGGGCAGTTTCGAGATTCCATTTCCCCATTTCTGTGATGCCTGTCCTAAGACACTTTCCCACAGTGATTTCTAAAATAAATTCCCACCACTCAGATTCCCAGTGTTTTCTGTGGCACACACACTCCACACAAACAGAATCTGTAAGAGAGCTCTTCCATCTTTTCACTGAAGTTTGGATATTACGCTGGCTAGAATCTTTTCAATAACAGGGATTCAGTTGGGTTACAAGTAAGGGGGTTTTTAAGGCATAGGACAGAGGTGCAGGGAGTGGGGATTTGAGAGGATTCCCCAGAGACAGTGGGGAGCAGAGCTGCCAGATCCACCGAAATCCACTGCTTAGGTGTGCAGAGGGGAGACAAGAGAGGTCTGCTGTGCCACAGGGATCATTCACTCCCTGGCTGGGGATCGAACTCGTGCTGCAGTGGCTGCGGACAGCACAGTGCTTCACAGTAATCCCTTGTGTCACTGGGGAGGGCCCCTAAGGGGACTTTTTTGAGAAGCATTTTAAAAATAAAATGCGGTGATGAATAACCACATTCTTTGAGTAACGCAAGCGTTAAACCGTGGTTAATACCTACTATTTCAGTCTACCCAGTGAGAGCCCACTGCTGTTAGGCTGGTCTTCCGCTTTGTTTACGGAGTTGTAGAATCCAGGTAGCCCTATGATTGATTTGGGAAGGGTGAGGGTGTGGGGAATGGGCTGGGGTGTTGTTGCAGCAGTTACTCGTAAAACATCAGCAGCATGTCCGAAAGTTAGGATTGTCTTGCATCTGTCTTTAAGCTTTTGCTGAGACTTGTATCATTACAGTGTCAAATAGTAGTGGTTACAATAGATGTTCTTTCTGTACCAGATCTTAGTAGAAAAGCTTTCAGTTTTTCACCATTGAGAATTATACTAGCTATGGGTTTGTCTTATCCAGCTTTTATTATGTTAAGATTTTTTCCATTATTCAAAGTTTTGTTTTGTTTTTTTGAGGCTATTCATCATAAATTGACGTTGAATCTTACCAGATACTTTCTTGGCATCTGTTGATAGGGTCATATGATTTACATCTTTTTGTTGACTTTTATTTTTAGTATATTCTTTTGGAATTCACACATGTGTGAAATCATAGAGTATTTGTTTCTCTCTGATGCTTCCACTCTACATATTACCAGAGGGAAATTCTACAAGGGTCAGCTATGACCAGTCCGAGTCTGTCCACACAGTCTGGCTGCAGGTGCCTGCTGGTCTCAGAGCCGTGCTCTCCCTGTGGCTGGAGTCAGTGCCTCTGTGCTCTGTGAGGAGGCTGTTCGGAAAGATGCTGACAGGTTCTTTCTGTTTCAGGGTGATAAACTGCCAGATGCTTCAGGCTGTGGCTTTTACTCTGGAGAGGAATGTGCTTTTGCTCTGTTTACATAAACCTGCTGATTTGCTGAGGGTTGAAAAAGGAGAGAGCTTTTTCCCCCCTAGAATCTGCCATGGCATTTTGCAGGACTTCCTCCCCCATCTTAGCAAATGCTCTGTTGTTTGCAGACGCTACAGTAGATTTTTGGACACATAGCTGTCTATGTTGAGGTTGTGAGAAACAGCTACAAACAGTCCTGTCTAACATCACCCAAATCATGGACACAGGATTGAGGTCACCTAATTATGTGATCCATTCCCAGGCATTCCTGGCAGACTCTTGGTTCTTTTTCAGGTACTTCCAGGAAAGAAAAAATTAGATTTCGTGAGTTGTTTGGGATAATTGATATTGGTGTAATAGCTTTAGTCATCTTTCTGTTCCCTTTCAGGCTTGCTGATTTTAGTGAGTGAGTGAGTGAGAGTGTGTGTGTGTGTGTGTTTATGTATGTATATTTGCCCTCTAGCAGTCCTTTGCTCCAATCTGGCAAAAATGCATTTTATATGGTAATTTGGAAAATGTGCATTATGCACTTAATGGATCACAGCAGCTTTGCTCAGATTTTTCAGAATTGCCCTCTTTCAAGTTTAAAAAAGGGGGGCTTTTCTTAACAAACAAAACAGTGTCTGGAGTGCTTGTGTTGGCCACAGGGGTTTTTCTGGTGAGGATCCCTGATCCACCTGACTGAAACCAATTTTATATCCAGCCTCAGATGAATCCATGCACCCAGATAGTGTGAAAATTCTTGCAAGTCATTTTGCCTTTAAAAGATTACCGGGGACATCTTCCAACTGAGGTTTTAGCACCACTCTCTGATTTCCCTATCATTTTCTGTTCCCAAATAGCCCTTTGCTGTGTTAGTTGTAGACATCAATACAAAGTTATTTTCTTAGGGCCTCCCTAGTGGTACAGGGGTTACAAATCTCAGTGCTATATCTGCAGCCACTGCAGCACCAGTTCCAACCCTACCCAGGGAGCCAATCCTCAGGGTGCAGCAGACTTCTCCTGTTTCTCCCCTGCTCCCCACTCTGTCTCTGGAGAACTCTCTCACCTCCACCCTTCTGTCCTGTACCCAGTTCTTGCATGCATGCATAAATAAATAAATCTTTTTTAAAAAGTTATTTTCTTAAATAACTACGTAACTGAAGGAAGTGTTTCTTCTGAGTATTTGGCCTCCTTTTAACCTTGCTTTAAAAATTATTAAGAGTGATTATAAGTTTATAAGTAGTTTTTTTTTTTTTAAACCCAGTGTGACTTGAATTCCAAACTGTTTATTAGAATATGTTCATTTAGGTGGATGATAAAGTGAGGTATTTTTTCTCCCTATTTTTATGGCAAGCCTGACATGGTGTAAATATTCAGGTGATCCCATGACCTTGGTTCATTCATTTTCTGCTTATATGTGATCACATAAGCTTTTGTCCCTTAATTTTGCGATGAGCCTCTTGGACCTATGCAAGTGTAGGTCATATAGAGATCATTGATACTATCATCAGTTTTACAGATGACAAGGTTTGCTATGGTAACTCTGTAAATGAAAGAGGTGTGTCTTTTTACCAAGTAATGAAGTTTTCTTTCGTCTTTTAAGAAAGTAGAAGCCATTAGTTAGAACATAACCTGTTAATTTTGAAGTCAGTGAATAGTAGCTGTGCTGAGACAGAAGGTGCCGCTCTCGAGTGGCCGGACAGAGATGAGGGTGTATAGGTTGCAGTTAGCTCTCAGCTACAGTGAGTTGAGTAAATAAGGGTGTGGAGATCTGAAATACCAGATGTGGGTTCAGCTGGACTTGGAACACAGACATTAAGAATGCTTTGTTGTTCCAAAATTGTGCAAGTTGAAGCTACAATTTTTTAATAGAATCCCAAATTAGAGGTGGGAGGAGACATTAAGGAAAAGCTCTTTGCCCTCAAGGAGATCAGTTTATTGAATGTTAGTTGCAAAATGTGCCAGTTATTCAGCGTCCTGCGCCTTGGGACCAAGGGTCTGTTGTTGAGGAACTGGGCATTCTTGCTGCCTAAGCCAGCGCCATTCAGATTTGCTCTTTCTGAAAAGACTGAGCTACCAAAATCTTAGATCCATCAGAAAGTTTCTTGGGAGGAAGCGCTTTCATGAGGGGCTGCGATGCCTGCCTCTGGCTGCTCTGTGTTGTGCTGGCATGCGCGGGTGGCCCCAAATCTCTGTCCTTTGTTTTATCTTGCTCTTAACACGTGTCAGGTGAGGCAGTGGAGGAGCCTGCCTGTGTCCCAAGCGTCTGAGTTTGTCCTAAGACAGACGGGTTGTGAAGGGTGGTGAGGAGGGACCCCACAAATGGCATTTACACTGTCAGGAGCCTTTGCTTCTCAGCAGGTAACATAGACTTTCCTGCCTCAGCTTTATGATGTTGGGTTGTAGGTGTGGGGAGGTTCTCTTCATAGCCGCTGCTTCCCTTAAATCATGAGTTTTTTGTAAAGTACCTCAACCTGATTGTGAAAAAGCTACTGCTTAGCCACCAGCTGCTAAGCACATCTAAGATGTTACCTAGCTGCTGCCATGTCAGATGGGAGTGAAGACAGCGCCTCCTCCTGGGAACCGATGGTTCAGTCCTTCTCTGACTGGCTGCCTTGGTTTTACAGTTAGAAAATGAAATGCGTTTAGATTAAAATTCAGTAGCAGCTTATCCATAAGAACTAGATTTGCTTTTTCTTGGTTTAGGTGAAATATTTATTGTAATAGCATGTTCAAACTAGTCTTGAGTATTTGATTTATGTCCTCACAAAGATCTACTGAAAGTGAAGTATCACTTGGCATGGCCATTTCTCTTTGTGTAGATGTGGAGCCTCTGGTCTGAGTAAGAACTTCAGATTCTGTTTTGGTCTGTAACCACGAGCAAGTAATTCCTTAACCTCTGGTCACATGAGCATGTGGGGAACCCCATGTTATTTTTCATGCTCTTCTTCAGGAGGCCTGAAAATAGTAATAAAGCTTATCAGATTCTTAAAAAATTTCAGAATAGGGTCAGAAAGAACCCAAGGGTTTTTCAGTAATGCCACCTTTATCCACTTCTTAGAGCAGGTGTGTGCTTTGTCATTTGTTTATGCAGTGCCTGTGGGCCCTGTCTTTGTGCCCAGAGAGGTAAATGCCATTGTTTTAAACTTTCTTTTTCTTTTAAAGACTGTGTGTATATCGAGAGTCGGAGGCCAAACACACCGTATTTCATCTGTAGCATTCAAGACTTCAAACTGGTAAGCATTTTCAATGTGCTGTGACTCTGCGCGTGCCTTCTCTTCCCCGCCTCGGTTGTCTCTTGCTTGCTCTCCACCCTGGTGACTTGATATGTCTGCAGCACTCACGCGAACTGGTTACTGACTGGACCTCTGCCGCACTGAACAGTGACTACTGTAAAGCTCATAATGCAAATAACGTTTCTCAAGGTTCCATGCCTTATGTCTGTGTTTTGACGACAATGTTAGGGATTCCCTTAAGTTTCTCCAGTACTTTGTTTCTTCTCAGCTATGGTAGAGACCACAGTAAAACTGGGATTTTGATCATTTGGAATACCGAATGTAAATGGCCAGGGATTAGTTTCCAGTGGCAGCTGTAATTTACTTACTAGACATTTTAGCCACTGTGAAGTACACATTGAGCTTTTTTGCTTTTTTTGGTGGCCTCCTAGTAGTGGGAGGCAGGGGAGGGAAGCAGTCTATCTCCTTTCCACGCGTGTGTGGGTGCTGAGGGTATCGCCTTCCGATTTCTTGGTTTTTAGACCAGTGGTTCCCATGCTTGGGGCTTGAATCCCTGCACGTCTGTGGAGGTTTTGTAAAGGTCTGCACGTAAACACTCTCAGCCTGAACGCACCTCATGCATGTGCGTGCAGTTGGCTTTTCAAATTCAGTAGTATGTTGCTGTGAGTTTCAAAAAGTGCTTAATGGTAACAGCACAGTTCAGAATCACTATTTTCTATGTACAGTTTCCTCAAGCAATTGATACTTAAAGTATTATCAAAAGGTTGTCATTTGGGGATCTTTGGAAAACTTTTCATCTTAGGGATTCTTGAACTTCAAGGTTGTGAACCACTGTCTACGTTCTTGGGTGTAGAGAAATAGCAAATCTTGAGCTTTGTGAAGATATGTTTCCATACATGTGATCTGAGGACCCTTATTCCAAAGCCCTTTGACACTTGGACAGTATTTTGTGTTCTGACACGCTGTCTGTGGTATTCCAGTCAACAGAGAGTAATGCAGTCGGTAAAGACCTGTCTTTCTGCATCTCCTTTCCTTGTCATTTTTAATGACCCCAATGACCATTTACTACCCTCTGATTTATAGGTAAAAATTACATGCCATTATTTTTCTTTATTAAAAAAGGATTGCATAAATAATGCATGCTTACTGTTTTAAAAGAAAATCAAACATGTTTCCCCTAAGGTTTATTTAGTTTTGCTAGGCTGCTTTTAACTTCCCAGTGGTTTTGTAAGATGGCCTTGTGGTTTAATTTTGTAAACAAAATGCTTTCTGTTCAGATTTTACGCCACATGATGGTTTATAATTTTGAGGTCTTTGCTATTCATTCTGTGTTTCATTTGAAAGGTTTCTTCCAGACGCTGGCGGACACCTAATGCAGGCGGTGGCCGTGTCTCCCGAGGAGCCCGCTCTTGCCTAGTGGCTGCTGTCTGTCTCTGTGTGTGCTTGTCAGCAGGCGTAATACCAGTTCTCCACGGAAAAGCTAAAGCTGTGACCTAAAACTGCGAAGATGTTTCTTTTCCCTCTAAGATGTGGGACCTCGTCTGTACAGTTGTGCGTGTTAGCTGCCGTGCCTTCGCGTCTGAGCAGCGTCTGTGTGGAGGACTGACGGCTGCATGAGAGCTGCTGCTTGGGGCAGAGCTTCCTGCTGGGTTACAGTAATTGCTCAGGGGACTGACAGCCATCAAAGCTGAAGCTTCTGTTGTCAGTATTGTCCAGTACAACACATTGAAGCCATAAAGGGGTAGGAGAGTAGGGTGCAGGATGTTTAGGCCTCTCTCGAAATCGCACTCTGCTACGCCTCACGTCTTGTATAAGTTCGTAGTCAGCATGCAGTCTCTTGTGTCAGAGAAACAGATGATGATGTGTTCACCTTGGAAGGAATGCAGTTCTGTCTGAACTCCTGAAAAGATAAGCTCATAGATGAGGAGGACCCGAGATATTCCCCGTTCAGCTTCTGCCCAAGCTAGAAGGAGAAAAGACGAGCAGGAAGAAGCACGGTTTCTCGGCAAGGCTTTCTAAAGAGGAGCATGAGCTGGTGTTGCCCACAGCAGATCCCATGTGTGGCACACGAGCCACAGAAGACAGACCCGGTCACTTTGCAGGCTAGCTGATTCTGCATTCTGTCCTTCAGCTTTTTCCTTTGGCTTGGGTTGTGATGGGGAGCAATGTTTGTATCACCACTGAGAATCAGCTTTTTTGCTACAGTCTTTGAGTAGGGGTGTGTTTGGGGAGTGCGAGGTGAGCCAGTGGAGTTCTTTCCAGTCCCTGTGAAGTCAGACTTTACAGGACTCAGTGTACCAGGAGCTTAGCGCTTGAGAAGTGGCTTGAGGAGACATATACAGCCAGTGCCAAATATTTGGATAACAGCTCATGGTCTAGTTTTGTGTGAGATGGAAGGCTCTCGGCTGTCATCTCGGCTCTGCGGTTACTTCCCCTAGACTGAGTCCATGTGTGTCCGTGGCCACCGCCATGGTGGTGTCTTTCTGCTGTCCTGGTCAACTCCAGTCTCTGCACTCCAACTCAGGTGTCCCACTGCAGACGCCTGTTTATGCGGTCATCTTGCCTGTGGGGAAGGGTTCCCTGGCTTCTGCTCTGTCAACATTCAACCATCAAAACACATAAGGCCACGGCCATCTGGCATTGTTCCAGGTAGTGGAGCCCATGCTTTCCCTGGGGGCAGGGTAGGTGGTAGCTATAGTGGTGGAGAGTGTGACTGCGTTCCTGGTGGAACTGAGATTTTTGCAGGAAAGTGAATTTCATGTCCTTTGTTAAGCTTTCATTTTCATTTCCCCAATAACGTGAAAAATCTGGGTTTATTTGACCAAAACAAGAGTATCTCTGGAACAGGGAGTCAGAAGTCAGGGAAGGCTTATAAGAGCAGAGCAGTAAGGTGGAATTCTGGAAGTGTGTGCTTAGAAACAGGGAGAAAGGGTGGAGCCATCCACCCTTTGCACCTTGGGCCTTTGAACTCAAACATTTAAGTAGCAGCCAAATCTTAAGCACTTAGAAAAAGAATAGTAATGTTGAATGGCCTTCCATGGGCAGTGGTCACTGCGGCCTGACTTTACAAGACGAACTGAGGGGCTGACGCAGTTAGCAGAGAGGCAGAGCTGAAAGGACAAACCCAGAGTTGCCTCAGAGCAGAGCGTAGGGGCAGCCACAAACAGGCTGCAGGCAGCTGCTTATGCTCAGCAGGAAGCCAGGAGCCGCCCTGTGCACAGAGCAGTGCTGGGCCAGACTGCAGGCGCTCCCCAAAGCACCCCATGGCCCACATGCTGCCACTTCTTCCTAGTGGTCTCAGGTCACCTGTTTCCTGTCCATGGGGCCTCTGATCTCAGGCCAGCGTGAGCAGGGCTCCCTGAAGCGCAGCCGGGAGAGCGTGGTGCAGCGCTCTCAGCTCCCTGCGGTCCACGGCTGCGCTCGGTCACTGTGTGACTTTGCCTCAAGAGTTCTGTTCTTGAGTGAGTTGGTATCACCAAGGAGCGTTACATTCCAGAGTGCAGTTCAAGGTGTTTCAGGTTATAATCACCCATAGGCAAGGCATTTATTGACCCCCTGCTTTGTGCTTTTTTGGTCGCGTGCAGCCGCGTGGTGGGGACCAACAGGTGCGCTTCTCCGTGGCCTTGGGCTCCAGTGGGGCAGACAGCTGTGGACATCAGTCCTCTCTTGGGCACTCTGAACAGGGTTGGTGTTGAGGGAGCCATTCAGATTTTGTCCTAAAAGATGGATTTCTTGTCACTAAAAAACAGTAAAATTCCATTTTTATAGAAATCCAGGCCTTTAGGCATAGTAGAGATAATTTGCTGTCTAGAAATAATTATGGATTCTGAGAATGCTAACTGGAAGCTCACTGAGATTATCATTTTAATTCAGTGTAACATTAAGAAGTTCCTTGTCTGGTTCTAGTAGTACCAGCTCACACCTGATTCCTCATTAACAGCATAATCAAGTCATTCCTTTAATATCCTACGTGGGAGATTTTGTGATTCCTGATGAGATTTCACCATTGATACAATAGAAAAAGGTATGATTTTGGTTTCTAGAGTTATATAATTATCAACTCTTTACCGATCATAATTGAATTAATTACCAGGTAGGACATCTAATTATTACAAATATTATTCTGAACAGATACCACTGATTGATTTTGGCTCCTGTTTGGTTTCTTAAAGCTGGGAAAGTTGTTATAATGAAACCTTTTGTAGATTTCTCTGAACAGGGTGTCTGCACTGGGGAGAACCTGGTATTCCCAGTAACTGCCATGCATCGTGCAGCGCCTGTGAGTGGCTGCGGGCCCGAGCGCACCAGTGTTAGCACATGGCTTAGAGAGGGCACCTCTCTGTTACTGCGGTGAATGTGGTGAAGATTTAATGCCATAGCCCTCTTCAGTGGATCTGCTGGGGGGAGATCATTGGCATTTCTCTCTGATTTCGGGCCTGTCCCTATCACCCAGCCCCCAGAGTAGATAGCGTGTAGAGCCCCAAGGGCCCGTAGGGCAAGCTTCAGCTTAGGGTCTGCGCTTTTGTCTACCTTTGAAATTGTCCTGTCTGCCCCCAGTTTAGACCCAGAGAGTAGATTAAAGGTAATTAGCTGCTTTTCCTTCTTAAAAATGAAAGCTTACAGAGGATCAGTAAGTAGTGTATCGCTTCATGTTTTTGTGAGAGATCCCAGTAATGCTGGGAGATGCCCATGGGGGTGGCGCCCTGTGCACCCCGGACACAACGCCTGTGCGCACACACTGACCTGGAGACCGCATGTCACCGCCACAGTTGTCCCGGCCGGACCCTCGTTGCCGCCTGCACCACACGTAGTGTGTGGGTGCCTAGGACACAGGCACTGCTTTGATACTCAGCGAGCCTCGCACTGAATGCATTGGGGGGCAGGAATCCGAGCTTATTCTGGGGCAGAGAGGAGGGTTGAACCCTTGACTTTGACAGCAGTGTGTCTTGTCAGTTGCTGTCATTCATGACCTTGGACCACGACACTTAACCATGTCCTAACCTTGCTTTATTTACCTGTGAAGAGGTGTAAGTAGCTAACTTGTAAGTAGGTTGGTTTTTAGGTGAAAAGCACGAGGCTGCAGCGTGGACTGTGTGGCCCCAGCCTGTGGGCGTTACAGTGCTCACGCTTCTGCTGCCGCCACGGAGCTCCGAGCCTCTGCAAGGGCAGAAGCCTCTGCAAGGGCAGAAACCAGCTGTGTTGCCTGGCCCAGTGTAGCGCCCCTGGAGATGTCGCACATAATTAATTGCATGAAGCCACGTTCAGAGGAAAAAATTCACTGGCTCAAGTTTTCCAACCCTTGAGCAGGGGTGTGAGACTCGTGCTGGCCGCAGCCCGGCAGGTGCCGAGCCAGCGCCCTGCCTTTCTCTGGGCAGCTGTCTCTGGGCAGCTGGTATTTTTACGTTTTAAATATAAAATTAATTTTTAAATAATAAAGCCATCCTTAAGGTACTTCACAACTCAGTTTCTTCTTGTCTTCCAGAGGTTGACATGCAGATAACCAAACCCATAGCCGTTTTTTGAGCATTACTAGTCTTTTGAATCTTCAAAATGACTTTTAGCAAAGGTAAACGAGGGCTTAGTTTTTATGTAAACAGCCCAGAGAAAACCAGCTGTTAGAAAAATGCCTCAGGTATTTCTGTGCAGCTGAACAGTGGTTGTCTTTTATTTCTATCATCCTGTAGTTCTTTTTTTCCTCTGCCCTCTTGGTTAATCCCTGACAGGGTGGAACCACAAGGTGCAACTTTGTGCTGAGTGTAGTGTTGAGTAATGTAATGCTGTGGAGGATCTTGAAGTTTGCTATCAGCATTTTCAGCTAGTTAGTGAGGACCTTAAGGTTATGCAGAGAGGAAATGGCAGTACAGCCGAGCCGGTGCTGTGCGAGCTGGCGTCCATGGGTTTGTGTCTGTCAGCACAGCACTCTTCTTACCCTTGGACTTTGCATCAAGTAAGGGTACACTTGTGATTTGACGCCAGAGTTTTCTTCTGGAGGCCATGCCTCTCCCCCTCTTTCCTTTTCTTTCTTTTAAAATACAGACCATGTTACTTGGAGAGTCTTAACAGTGGTCAGTGAGATGTCGGCCCACTGATGCCGTCTGGCTGGAGTAAGCCACCAGTGGGGGACAGTAGTGAGGGCTGAGTGACCTTGCCTGTGAATGTGAGTTTAGGTTTTATCTAATCCTTCTAAGGCTCTGAGGCAGCGGATGGTAGCTGGTGGAGGGGGTGGGGGTGGGGGGCGCCACGGCCACCTCTCCCTGGAGCAGCTGTCATGTTGTCACCGCAGCCTGTTGGCATAATCTGAATGTCAGTTTATTATAAATGGAGGGTACTTACATAAGTGAAATCAAAAGGAGACTGAAAATAAATAAGGGGAGAGCTTCTTATTGGCCCCATTGATTCAGTTTTCTAAGCCGTCTCTTTTCACTGTGGACTGACAGTCATTATGGCCCATGCAGCAGCCAAACGTCTAAGGACTCATGGTTGCTGTGAAGTCGGGTAATTCATTTCCACCAAATTTCTTGGAAGTTTAGGACTCTTAGGTATTAAAAGTTTTTGTTCAGTTACATTTATTTCCACAAAATATTTACCAAAGTGTTATTTTACTAATAACGTATTCTCTATATGTGAAGTTTTTTCAGTGCAGAAAACTGTGTATTCTGGTATTTTAAAAATGAGCTTAAGAAACTTTGAGAGAATCTGATTTTTGCAGAGAACTGCTCTACAAGAATATTGGTAAGGTCTTATTCAAACTTGATTCCTTAGAGCTAGAAATTTGTAATTACTCTATATGTGGATGTTTGTGTAAAGAGCTAGGAAAAACCCACTAGAAGACTAAAGAAAATTAGGTAAACTGAGATACTGTCACTTTTTTTAGTTGTAAACAAAAATACCTTTATAAATGATTCCTCATGCTTCAAGTGTTTTGATGATTACTTGAACTTTTGCTTATGAAAAAAATGCCAAGTTACTTTGAAATGTTTTATTAGGTGTCTTTTTGTTTAAAATCCTTGATTTGAGTAAGTCAGAATTTGAGTCATCTCACTGTTGCCATAGATTAACACTAATTTAAATTTTACTTGAAGCTTATCATAAAAAATACTGAGTGTACTCAACATTTGATTGCACAGCTGAATTTTCACTTTGGGATTTGAAGTGCTGGTGTGGGCAAGAGGGGGTGTGGTGGAGAAGGTGTGGGGTCCTGCCTGGCTGCAGTGTTCTGTGTGGTGCCTGGAACTGCCCGCAGATACCAAAAAAAGGGGGAGGGTATGTTAAAATCTTTGATTACAAGAAATTATTAGAGAGTGACTTTTTTGCTTCTCAAAGGGAATAATGTGCAACAGGACGCCCTAAAAATGACTTAATGTAAAAAGTCCGTAGTTTGTTAACAGCTTTAAGAACAGAGTATCATGTATGAGCATTTGGTATGAGCATTTGGATTTTATGGGGTTTTTCACTTATTTAAAAGCATATGAACTTGAATGGGTTAAGACTTTTGGAAATGTTACATGCTCTGGTCTGTGGGAGAGGGGACAAGCTTATTACGTGGGGATTTTGGGTACTTACGAGGACTGTGCTGGCTTTCAGAAGTTGCTCTCTAATTTTTTGCTGGAAAATGTTTTCATGATTTAGTGGGGGATCAAAATCGAGACATGATAGTTACCAAACTGGTTTTGCCCCCGAGAGAAACTGTTTCCTTGGACTTGCTGCTCTGTGCCTCCATCGCGCTGACCCGGCCTGCGAGACAGCCAGACTCTGACCAGCACCCTGATTTTCCTCTGGTATTGAGCCTTTGTCTCCCTCACTGTAGCGTTACAAAATCACATTGGGACTTTGAGAAAAACGGTAGGATTTCCTTGCCCCTCCTCCTCCGGTGTTCTTGAGTATTTCCTTACCAAGTGCCTGTCTTGATGCCTCTAGCATCTCATTAGAAACTCTTCTGAAAGCTAAATCTGTCCACTATTGGTTCATTTCACAGTTGTGTTTGTCTGACACTGTTGAATTTGCGTTTTTGTCACTAGCAGAGCATGCACTGCCACTGTGCTTTGGCACTGTGTCGCACCGTTACTTGGTTATTTTGAGGGGCACACACCATACTGCTTTATGCCAGGACCAGCTTAAAGTTGGAGCCAAAAGGGTCATATATGCTTGTTTTCTCTGAAATAAGGAAACACCTCTGGTCAATGCAGAGAGGTTGTCTTTAGAGAATTTAGACCCTGTTCTCTGAGATCTCAGAGGCCATCTGCTGGAGGATTTGCGCAGATGCCCGCTTGTGTGCTGAGTGCCCCCGGTAACCAGGGCATGAGGGGACATTGGGCGTGTTAACTTAAAACTGTTTTCTTTTTTAGGTCCACAACTCCCAGGCCTGTTGCAGATCTCCAACTCCTGCTTTGTGTGACCCCCCAGCATGCTCTCTGCCGGTGGCATCACAGCCACCACAACATCTTTCTGAAGCCGGGAGAGGGCCTGTAGGGGTAAGGAGAATCCCGTTTTTAAAAGCTATCAATATTTTATATCCCATAGGGTATAAAATAGGAATATTACCTCCCTCCCCAGAGCCCCTTTAAAAATGTGCTGTATTGTATGTGTTTTTAAAGGAGTAACAAGTACATGCACAGAGGAAGCAAAATACGGGACTTGCCTTACCCCTCTAGGACAGTTCCAGAAGTTAGGGGGGTTCGGTGGTGCGTAGGGTATTTGGGCACCAGCAGAGAGCATGCTGGGCTGCTGCAAGGAGCAGGAGCTGGCAATCAGCAGCGAGTATGGATGTTGGCAACTGAAATGGGGGAAAAGGGGGTAAGTTTGAGTCCAAGTGTGGAGTGTGCCTTTCCCTAGGATCATTGGGATGCATGATCCACGGATCTGAACTGTTTCGGGGTGCTGTCCTCAGGTGATGTTTTCTAGAGTACCGCTGGACTTCTCTGCAAGGGCAGATAGGGAGCAAACACTTGGAAAGTCTTGGGTGAGTGGTAGACACAATGCTCTCAGCTCTGCCTTCTGATGCCCTGGTCCTTTGGTGGTCACCTGGTGGGCGTGTGGGGTGTGTTTGCGGTTCAGCAGGATAAGTCTCCAGTGCTTCATCCGTTAGAACTCAGGCCCCAGGGTTAGTGATCCTGGAGGGTTCTTTTGTGCTGTGGGTCTCACCTTTTATGACAGTGGTGTGTACACCTGTCTGTTTTCCTTCCTTTATGAGGATTTAATGGTGAAGTTTTCTGAAAGACAGCTGCTTATTGTTCTGCTTGATTTCTGGGTACCTGAGCCGGCTGTCATCACTGAGCAAGTTCTGTGCTTGTCTTTGTCTTGTGTGTAATCTGGCTGTGAGCTCTAGCTCAAGTCAGTCAGAAAATGACACACGAGAGTAGTCACTGCACGTACTGGCATTACAGGAGGAACTTGTCACTTGCTGTGTAGAATGTCAGTATCTTGAGACTAAAACAGAATGTTTCCAGGTGGGAAGCTTGGTGCAGGTTTTGAGGAGTTGAGTTATACTGATAACACAGGGCAGGCATTGAGGAGTACCTTCCAGGTGTGCAGGTGCCTCTCCCTGTAAGCCATGTAGGTAGTGGGTCTGAAGGAGCGGGGACTTGTGAGAAGGTGACCGCAGGACGTCAATGAAGAGCACAGGTTAGTGGGATTGGGGAGGCAGAGTGGGACTGGAGCTCAGACTCAGACTCTCAGACTAGGCTTACATGCTTAGCACAGAGGAGCCTTTGCGGGCTTCTTCTTTCCAGATAGGCTGGTTTACAAATGAATGCTTAAGAGGATGCATCTCAGCAGAGAGCAGTGTGGACTGGGGAAAGGCTGAGAGCTCCACTTTGGGAGCAGCTCTGTCATCCTTGCATGAAATGAAGAGGACCAAGACAGCAGAGATAGGGTGGTAGTGATTTAACAAAGTCAGGAATAGTTGTCACAACAAGTTCATGTTTAGATAGTTGTCGAACCTTGGATTCTTGCTATAATAGCCATTCACAATGGAAGATAAAACCCAGCATAATGGATACAGGTCTTAATTTTGATCCCTAGAGAGCTGTTTCAGCATCTTAAGGGACAAATTAGCAGAGTCCTGACTTGACTGCCTACTTAAAAGACTTCAACTGATGGTTGTCTTGTTTCTGTGTCTATCTAAGCAATGGGTGGTTTTTATGTTTTAGGCTGATACTTTCTTTTTTATTCCCTAATCATTGTGGGCATCATTGTTAGAGTGCTTTATTTCCTACAGCACTCACTCACCAGGATATGCTTGCTGAATGAATTTAGAATTTTGCTCATAGTAACACTGAATTTGAGTATACTCAGTGAGATACAGCATTAGTATTTTGCATTAATGAAGACTCATGTTTATTTTCCTAGCAGTTATTGCAGTGTCCATTAGGGATTTATTTTTATTTTATATTTTTAAAATATTTATTCATTCATATAGAACTGGGGTACAGGCCAGAGATGCGGAGAGTGAGAGGATTCCCCAGAGACAGAATGGGGAGCAGAACAGGCAGATCGATGAAGTCCACTGCTGAGGGGAGCAGCGGGCTGGTCAGGAGAGGTCTGCCGTGCTATGTGGATCACCTCTGGGACAGGCAGGGAGCGAACTCATGCGGAAGTTGCTTCAGCTTCTTAGTGCTGTGCTTTAACCCGCTGCGCCACCAGGGAGGGCCCCCATTAGGGATTTAGATACGTTCGTGATTGGTGGTGCGTTCGGATGCTATTACATGTGGGATGAGAAGGTCGTGTAATAAGATGATAAATCTTCTTTCTGTCAAGGTGATGCCGCATGAAGCTAACCATACAGCTTGTGCTTCAGCAATGTGCACGCGCTGGCATCACTGGAGCTGGATCTGCATTGGATCCAGTGGCAAAGTGGCTCCCATGTGTGGGGCACTCATCAGTTCCTCAGGCACACAGACCTAGTACAGTGTGATGAGAGAGCTGCTGGGTGAGAGATTGATGACTGGGCTGCAGACAATATCTTTAATGCGCTTGCCATGGTGCACCAGTTGTCATTCCTAATAGGCTGTTTTTGTTAATCTAATTTTTATAGGATAGCATTGATTGCATCATAATTTAGTTTCTTTGCCTGTCCTTGTGTATATGATCTGTGTTTCTGCATTAATGATGGCATCTACTGATAAGATTTAATTTTATACATTTTAGCTGATCTATTCACTTTTAAAGTATTTGGTGCTGGAAAGGCACCATTTTTATTTCTTAGCATGGATATTTTCCAGCAAAAAGTATTGTGCTTGTCTTAGTTTGCACTTTCCAGACCTTCTGTAGACTGGGCAGAGAGCTCCGGGACCCCCTGTCCCGCCCCATGACCAGCTGCTCCTAGAAGACTGGCCCCAGACTCGCTCCCAAGCAAAAAAGGGGCTGGCAGTCCACACTTTCTGCTCTTCTGGCTGGGGTCCTTTGTTGATTGAGCCTGCCCTTGCCTCTTCTGGGAAATCAAGGGCTTGGTCTGAGGATTTGTTACTTAGCATTTTCAGGTTTACTATCCAAGACCACTGTTGTGGGTCTGAATAAGACAGTACTGAAATCGTGGGCCGGCGCTTTCATTTCAGTACTTTTTTTAAACGCTGGGCTTGTTTTTTGGTGCATTATCCTTTAAAGACTATTTTATTGTCCTGATAATACAGGATGTGCTGATCAGTCTTTCAGGCCCCTCCCCCCCACTTTTGTAAGGGATAAATATGTGCACTACTTCTCTCCAAAGGGTGGTTGCAAAGATGAGTGAAAGAATTCACTAAATTGCTTAGCATAACAGTGAGCCTTAAGCATTATCTGTTGGCACAAGACATTTTTGTTACACAAATTTAGTTTTTCACTAATTTGTTAAGTGTTTCCAACATTCTTTACCTTGAGTCCGATTTAAAGAGTGTCTGTGAACTTCCTGAAATCCCTTGTAAAGCTTTGTATATTGTGCATTTTTCTGGAGAGTATACTATTCAATCATGGATTCTAATCAGTAGACTAAGATGTTGAAACAGTTAGGAACTGCTGCTCTGTAACAATTCTGTGGTGGGTCTTTTAAGACCTTGAACCAGTTAAGTTACTAAAGAAACTAATATTGAACAAATATTTATGTTGTGGCCAGGCCTCTGCTGTTCTTTCACAGGATTGAACCTATCTAATCTTCACAACAATCTGTGCTATTCATTTTATTTTTTAAATGAGAAAAGTTGAAGTTTACATTTGTGTAAGATTCACATTTTGTCTTAGCAGCAGGACTTGAACTAGGTAACTCTCCCTGGCCTTAGGCTCCCTGGACTTTCAGGATTGGCCTCAGTGCTTCCCGGGTTGGCCCCACAGTGGTGTCCACCTTCGCCTCCACCTTCCTGGCAAGTGTCTGAGCCCCCTGCACAGCAGCCCTCAGCCTGAGAATGGTGTCAGCCCTGTGGTATGAGAAACCTTTTTTTCCAGTGCTAGTCACTCTTGACTTGCTGTTAGCACTGGTGGTGGACATATGTTTAGTGTCCTTTTGTTTAAAAAATGCATCACCAGGGGTGCTACTGTGAGCTCTCTTCTCATTTGTCTTAGTGGCATCTGTGTGCCCTGGAGGAGTAGTTGCTGTGCTGGTTGTGTTAGTGCATCCAACATAACGTCATGCCTGCGTGACGTTGGGCTTTGCGTTACCCTTCGAGAAATCCACCCCACTGATCTAGGTGTGAATTGGTGCCACTGGCCCAGTGCACTGGGGACCCAGGGCTTTCCCCAAGACCCTGCATCTCGAGGGGAACCAGGCCTACTGGGCGCTTTCCACGTGGGGGTGTTTGTGGAGCCGACTCCAGATACACCATGGATATCTTCCTCAGCCAAGAACACTTTGCTTAGTGTCTCATTTCAACTCTTGTGACTGTATCTCAAACTGGTGACTAAAAAAAGGACTCCTTTTTGCTTATGTGGAATATTTATCCGTTTTCAGAATTAATCTCACACTGGTACTTTTCATACGTAGACTTGAGGCACCATTTCATCCTGAAAAATGAGCATTTATTATAAAATGCTACTTAAAAAGTAAAGCTGGGTATATATTTTTTGCCTATTTACTGCATAAAAAGAACTAGCCTGGTTGCGTGTTTAGCGCTGCAGGCCCTTCGGAGGACACCCCGCTTCCCAGTACTACTAGTATTATTACTATTATACAGTATTAGTGTTAGCAGTGTTTCCTACTTAGCATTAAGTATGTGAAAATATATCCATTGCCTTTATATTTGGCTATAGAGAAAGGTATTAAAACAATTGAGTTCTAGGAAATTTGCCAACACAAATATGGAATTCACCCAATATCCAAAATGTAAGATTATTAGTAGCTATTGGGTTGTAACGTGACAAGTTAAAACATGCACCCAACTAGCAGGCAGCAGCAGCGGTGTCATCCCCAGTCCAGGTGCGCCCCGCCCGCCTGGTATTCCCCCCCCCC